ACAATGCCTAATTTTGAACGATGACTTGTTTTTAATAGTCCGTAATTAGTAGTCCGTATGTGTGAAATGAATTAGCGAAAGGTCACTTATATGTTTATCCATTGATCACATTATTGTACGAGTAATTATTTAGCATTAATCCGCATTTAGGAAACTGATAATCAATGTGTGGGAACCCATTAAAGAGTGAGTAGAGGAGCAGTAAATAATTAGGGTGTATTTGGTGAGTAAATAAGATACTCCCTTCGTCCCAAAATATAAGCAACATTATGCTAAACGAAGTAATTTTTTGAAATTTTTCAATCCATTTTATTTAAAGAATGATCTACAAATGAAAAATAAACTTATATATTTAAAAACTACGTCAAAAGTTCTACAAAACATGTGGTGACAAGAATATTTTATTTTATCAAATAATCAATGAAAATGCAAAAATAAATAAAAGTTTCCGGGATTTTGAAATAGTGGAGTGTTGCTTATATTTTGGCACGGAGGGAGTATGAGTTTTGATATTTTCAAATATAAAAAAAATTGAGTGTTTGGTGAAGCAAAAAAAAGATATTGAATTCGATATATCTGAATATCGTAAATCCTTCAAATAGATGATTTCAATATCTCCGGAATCTGAATGATATCATTATGGGGGTTTGATATCTCTTTCAACCATTGATCACTCTCCCTCACCGACTACCCCCGTTATCCGTCACCGTACCCCCGCTTATCACTAATTAAATCATGATTTTAAATCTTTCGAAACAAATTTGTTTCATATTTTAAAACTCAAATCATTTCTCACAAATTTCATAAATCATATTTTATTATATTTTCAAACTCACGAAATGGGTAATTAGGAGTATTGGAGATCTGGTGTGAAACTATCTATGGTCAATTTTAATGGTTGTAACGGAGTCCATGTGTTGGCTTATTTGAAACCACCTGGTGTGGTGGTGTAAAAAGACCAGAACAACCCCTTGCATTAATTGAAAACACAATCTGAGAGCATTAAATTTTGATGCCCTTTGTCAAACCAATTCAGAACAAACAAATTTAGTTGACCGTAACAAGAGACGGATGCAATGCTCTCTCCATATAGTGCCAATATTGTCCGTTTTTTGAAACATTTTTTCTATAATTTTTACGTACAAAATTTCACTAATTTAAAACGATTTTTATTTATAAATTAGTATAAGTAACTTATATGTATTTAAAGCTATATCAAAAATTCAAGTTTATTACACCAAGACTCTTTGTGATTTGGTAAATGTGCATCGTTATTCCTATAGTTTCAAAATGTAACGTACGTCGTTGCTCCCGTGGTGCTAATATTCTTACGTTAATACCCTTCTAGACTAAAATATCCTTCAAATATTAAATAAATTACTTCAAGGCCCATTATGGTTTTGGAAATGGGTACCGATGCCCCTCTTTTTTCTTTTTTCTTCTCTTTTTTCATAAAATTTTTTAACTTCATTTTTAAAAGTGAAATTTGCACTAAATAGGACTAAAACATAATGACTTTTCTAATATAGGATTTAAACTTTTTTATTCCCTAAATAGGACTTAATAATGACCTAGTAGGTGGAATAATGTCCAGTAATGATGGACATTTACTTGAATAATGACTACTTCATAATGACCAAATGTTCTACATTGGGAAATAAAAACATATGGTCCTATATTGGAAAAGTCATTATGTTTTAGTCCTATTTAAGTAAATTTCTCTTTTTAAAAACTATTTTTATACTCTGTAATGTTTTAATAAACAAAGAAAAAAATAAATTAAATAAAAAGAACTAACCTACAAGTCATTTGTCTCAAATTAAATATTTTCATTTTGTCCTTATTTTTCATTTTCATAATACAAAAATAAATGAAACATTTTCTCTCTTTTTTTTACACTGAAGCTCATTTCACAATTTCTTTTTATTTTCATGTTTCTTTTTTTATTTTCTCTTCTTGGTTTTTTTTAAAATTTTTTTTATAACCTTTCATTTATTGTTAATAAAATTTAAAATAGTAGAACGAAAAAAATGAAGAAACATGTTATGAATATATAATTAACCAAATATTATAAATACCTTGCTTTGTAGTATTCTTTTAGCCCCAACAGATAAAAAAGAACTTTATTTAGTTTGAGACACATGAAGTATATTTTTAATTTTTTTATTTCATTTTTATTTCAAAAATAAATTTTTTAAAAAAAAAGTTAAAAAAAATTATATTTGTAAACTACTTTTCATTATATCAAACAAAAATATTTTTCTTCTTTTTATAAAATAAAGAAAAAATAAAAATAGTAAAGAAAAAAATAATGGAGAATGGGCGTTGGAGCCCATTCCCAAAACCAGAGAGGGCAGCAGAACTATTCATTTAATATTTTTAGACTACTTTTGTCTAGAGGGGCATTAGCATAGAAATATTAGTTCCAAGGGGGGCAACAATGTAAATTTTGAAATCATGAGGGTAACGGTGCACACTTACCAAATCACGGGGGTATTGGTGCAATAAATTCTAAAAAAATTTACAAACAATTGATGACAAAAATATTTTATTTTATAGAAATTACCCTAAATAAGAGTAAAGCATAGAAAAAGTATCAAAATAAGAGTTTCATATTTTTTTCCCTAAATAAGAGTTTGCGTTGTGGTAATGTGGCACTGTGTATGAGCTGTTTTCTATACTTTTTTGGTAATGTACATGGTCATGATTGATAATGTAAATGAATTTTAACTCATATTTTGAAAATAAAAACATGGATTTATATTTATATTTTCTACTCTCTCCGTTCCACAAAACCCTTCCAGTAAGTGAATACATTATTTTAATTAGGTTTTCTTACCCCGTCATCGAAGATAAATAACACTATATAGGAGTACGTACTTGGTTATTTTTGGTACTTCTAATTATAACAAAACATATTACTCCCTCTGTTTGAAAATACACTTCCTATTCATTATTTCATATCTCTCGATAATTTTTGCTTATTTGTATTTTTTATAGATATTTTATAAATTAAAATGAAAAAAATATAGAGTAAAATATACTCCTTTCGTTCCACAAAACTCTTCCCCTTTCGTTTTTTTGCTTTCCACAAAACATTTCCACTTTCTATTAAAAAACCACTTTTACCCCTACTTTTTCATACCCTACCTATCACATCATACTTTTTCACTAATAACCAAACTATCTCATCTTACTTTTTCCCATCACATCAGGGGCAAAATTGGAAAATCAACCAAAATTACACTTTCCTTATTTTTCCCCAAAGTCCTATTTTGATATATTTTTAATGTTTTAGTCCTACTTTCGACTTTATGCCTTAAAATTGTTAAAGTATTCTTAATAATCTACTCCCTCCGTCCCATGAAACATGGGATGTTTTGCTTTTTGAAGAAATTTAAGGGAGTATATTTTGGTATTGAATTTCCAAAAATGTCTTTTGATGTGAGGGGTAAAAGTAGGATTTGATGGGTAGATTATTAGTCAAAATGTATGATGTGATAGGTAGGGTATGAAAAAGTAAAGGGTAAAAGTGACTTTTTAATAGAAATGAGAAGTGTTTTATAGGACAGATAAAAAAAGAAAGGAGAAAAGTTTTATGGGACGGAGTGAGTATCTGTTACTATTGCATTCTTTCAAAACACGTGCAAAATTACTTCTATTTTAAAATACATTTATTTATAAAATAGCATATAAATAAAGTGTACAGTTTACATACATAAAAACTATTACAAAAGTTTTACGAAATAAGTAGTGACATATCTTTTTTATTTTAACAAATAAAGAATAAAAATATGTATGCAAAAAATAATAATACTCTCTCCTTTTTGTAAAAATTTACTTATTTTGTTTTCATGAAAATTGAAAAAGTGTGAAAATGATAAGAATATTATGAAATAAGTGTCTAATTTTTTTTAGATGGAAGCAAAATATTTTGGAATAAACAATACTACAAAAAAAGGTCAAATTAACTACCCCATTTACATCGGTTCTAAACAAAATCGATGCAAATGGGTTAGTGGAATTCGCCAACCGGAATCTTTTGAATCAGTTGTTAATAATAACTGATTCAAAAGGCTTTTGAATCAATTTTTATTAACAACCAATTGTACCTTTTAAATCGGTCATTAATAATAATCGATCTAAAAGCCTTTTGTTAACAATCCATTCAAAATAGTCGGTTAAAATTAGCCGCAAACACTCAATCTCTTACGCGATCTTATTTTTTCTTTCTTCTTTCTCCTTTGACATTTTCGTTGTGCTAACAAGGTCTCACTGACGCCGCTGTCGTCGCCCCATCTCCCCGCTATTGATTTCCAAAAAGATATATCCCCATCGCCCCACCTCCCTTAGTCTTCGTTGTTTTTCTGTCATCCACCTTTAAGGTCGTCACCGTTCTAGCTCTCGTCGCCGACCTCGAAGTTCATCGCCGTTCTCACGCCGTCAAGCTCCTTTCAGTCGTTTCCGTTTTCCAGTCCTCGTCAGTAGCGTCGTCCCCAGCCCTCACCGTCGTCGCCTCCCAGTCCTCGCCGCCGTTCTTAAGGTTTGGACACCAAAGGGGCTGCCGCCCCTTAAACCCTACTCAGATCAGGGGCGCTGCTCGCGCACCTCCGCCAAGGGGGCACTGCCCCCTTTGAACCCCCTTTAAAACGAGGTGTTTTTCATAATAAACTCAATGAAGCATGCATTCCGCACTTCCAAAATTCTTTGATGATTACTATGATATCATTGGTCAAATAATTATTTCAAGTATACTAAAATATATAACACTCTGTTTATGTATTAGTTGGATTTTTGTGCATTACTTTTGTGTAATTGACTTGATTTAGTACATTAATAAATTGTTTTGTGTGTTTGTGCTATCTTTTTAACATAAAGTTGTTTTAAATTATATAGTATATTATAATATCTCAAGTTCTAATTGTGTTTGTGTTTGGGAATTGTTTGATGATACATGACTTAGATGCTTTGCTATAGAAATAACATATATTTACCTACCTAGATACACGTTTAAAATTTATTCATTAGGAGTAAATTTTTAATAGATCCCAGTTTGAAGCTGTTTTTGAAATGCTTATCACATAGATGGTGAATGCATTTTTAAATTGTTTTATCATTTTTTGGTTTGACATTTCCAAAATGCGTTCTTCGGGTGCATATGTAACTACATTACATCGTGAACTTGGAGAACCATTGGGAAATGCTGCCAAAACTATGATAGATCAAAGAAAATGAAATGCATTTACTAGTGATGGTGGCGTTTCATGTTTAACGCCCAAAACATACTCTAAAATTATTATTGAATTATTATTCAATTAAACAAATTTGTTTTGATTAAAATAAATTATTGTTGGGTTTTGAGCCAAAATGAAATATGTTTTGATGTCCAATATCACAATCTGCATAAGTCTAATAGAGATAAACACAATATGTTGATTATTTGTGTAATCTTGATTAGAAACCAGAGTACAGACCCAAATTAAAAATAAATAAAGGATTTGTTTTGAGAGGTAATTTAGACGATATTAATTTTTGTTTTTCATATTTAATTGAAGATATGTATGTAAACGTAGTCTTTCACAAAAATGTAGGTACCTTAATCGCTTAAAGAGAATGATGAAAAACAAGGCTCGTGTTGAAGGATTAGTTGCTAATGCATATCTAGTAAGAGAGGTGTCTTACTTCTGTTCTTGTTACTATTGTTGTTCTTAATGTTCTTGTTATATTTCGTGTTATTGTTCTTGATGTTTCTAGCATGTAGCTCATGGGTAAAATTTTTGAAGTTTTTATTGTTATTATTATTGTTGCTGTTTGTGTTATAGTCTAATTATTGTCTTCGTTCATATTTTTATTCTTTGTGGTGTTAATAACTAGTTGGGTGACATTGTAGTATCGTTGTAGGCTCGATTTTTTGCTCTTTGCGATGAGGCTATAAAGAATGGATGTCACCGATGACCAAATCTGGTACTCAGTAGTCCAGGGCCACAATGTGAAGAACTTGCCACGAGTTGGTGAGTACGAGCGTAGGATGAGAAAGTTGAAGCTTCATCCACCCATCACTGCTCTAGCTCTTCTATCATTAAGAAAAGTGAAATGGAGATCCTCAAAGAATAGGCCAAAGGCCTCCAAGAACAGGTTGAAGCCCTAGCCTCTAATTTCACAACAATCCAAGAAGATCTAAAAAAAAGTTGTATGGTAATAGCAACCCTCCTCGAGACGATGATGGAGCGGGGGGGATCAGGGCAACCAGAGGCTGTTTGTTAGAGTGTTTGAATTAGAATCTTTGACTTTAATGGTTTTTATACATAAATTAAATTAAATATTTGTACTTGTTCTACGTTACAAAGTGGAATTTGTTTGACACTTATATTTAAGACTTATTTGTGAAGTTGGATGTTATTCTATTTTTTGAAAAGCCGTAGATCAGCAAAAATACCAGGTCCTGGGTCTGTAGTTCACCTCTATGTGACGGACATGCGATAAAATATCATAGTTCAAAAAAACTTGTCGTAGTTTCTGTCGCAAATTTGCGACGAAAGAGGTGTGATCCGCCGCAGTTCGCAGATATGTTCATATTCGGTGACCCCAAGTTTGTCGCAGGATCGTCGTAGATATGCGACGGATAGGTGTTTCCGTCGCAAATTATGGCCTGGCAACGGAAAATTTGCGATGACGATTTGCTGTCGCGTTTCCGTCGCAAATATAGAATCAGCTACGTTTTTTCAAATCTACAAACGGAAATGAGCTGTCGCAGATTCGACAGATTCTTGTATTGATCGCTACTTATTGCATTGGTTAACAACCGATTCAAAAAGTAAAAAACAACAGATTCAGATAGTAATTTCAGTAGTAGTGACCGCCAATTCTGGAACCGGAATTGGTACAGTCCTCGGTGGGTAACGGTTACAGGGAGGGAGTTTGCCGTTGCCAGGACTGGAACCGTAGTGCAACCGTACCATGTCCACCCCTATTCGAGAGTGTTACATCAGATGTTTTAACGTTTTTGGGTGCATTTTTGGGTGTTCTATTATCTTTTAAGCTAGGGTACACTTATTCCGTTTTTACTTTTTTTAAAGAAGAATTTATACTAAATAGGACTAAAACATAAGTCATTTTCCAATGTAGGACTTAAATTTTTTTATTCCTTAAATAGGACTTCATAATGTCTAGTAAGAGGAATAATGTACAGTGATGATGTATATTTTGTTGAATAAGGACTAATGGATAATGACCAACTGTCCTACATTGGGAAATAAAAACACATGATCCTATATTGAGAAAGTCATTGTATTTTAGTACTATTTATTTAAATTCCTATTTTTTCAATGAGGGAAAGTGATAAATATTTTCTTTTTGGGGTCATTAATAACTAAAATACTCCAATTGCTTTTTATGGGAAAAATATAAAGAAAGATGGCGCTATTGAACATGGGGTATGTCACACCTCTAATTCTCTATTGTGATGGCTTCGATGCATTCCTGGCCGGGAATCCTTTTTCTCTTTCTATCTCTATTAAAAGGGGATCAAATGGGTGCTGCTGTTTCCATTTTTCGGCCATTTTCTTCTTCCTCGTCCATCTCGCCCTCCCTCCCATATACAACTCCGACGATCAATATCATATTGGGAGCGAGGGATCGAGAATACATATATAATAAGGCCGAATAATCAATCACTCAATCAATCAAAAAATATAAATTCATATTTCAGGCTAATACTTAAATAAACAAATAAAGGTAATTAAGAAGAGATCAATATATAATGGGTAGCAGCAGTAATAATAATAATAATAGGGCGGTGGCAGATGAGGATTATGATTATTTGTTCAAGGTGGTGCTGATAGGAGATTCCGGCGTCGGAAAATCCAACTTGCTTTCCCGTTTCACCCGCAACGAATTCACCCAAGACACCAAATCCACCATTGGCGTCGAGTTCGCGACTCGCACCATTCGTGTTGACAACAATAAGATCATCAAGGCTCAAATTTGGGACACCGCTGGCCAAGAAAGGTACTCTTATCTAGCTTTCTTCTCATTTGATTTTTTACGGTCTACTCCAATATCTATTTACGTATAAACATAGAATTATAAAATTAATTGATTAACTTGCATTTGATTATACATATAGGTACCGTGCAATAACGAGTGCATACTATAGGGGAGCAGTGGGTGCATTGCTTGTTTACGACATAACACGGCGCGTGACGTTTGAGAGTTTGGAACGGTGGCTCAAGGAGCTGCGGGACCACACCGACCCCAACATCGTCGTCATGTTAGTCGGCAACAAGGCGGATCTCCGACACCTCCGAGCCGTCACGACGGACGATTCGAAGGTGTTTGCGGAGAGGGAGAACACTTTCTTCATGGAAACCTCGGCTCTCGAGGCGATCAATGTAGAAAATGCCTTCACGGAGGTACTTTCTCAGATATACCGTGTGGGCGGCCGCAAGGCCGCCGCCCTGGATGGTGGAAATAACAACAACCACGCGAATTTACCCAAGGGATCGCTGACAATCAACATTGGTGGTGGCGGTGACGTCTCCGCCGTCAAGCAAGGTGGTGGGTGTTGCTCTTCTTAAAGGGCTCGTTTGGTATCAGCGTTAGAGGTTAGCGTTGGCACTTTGAAGAGATTGTCGACGATAGCCTCTAATATTAGCGTTTTCAGAATTAATGCTACACAATTATTAAAATTTTATTCAAAATATTAACACGGATCGAAAACGATAATGCACAACTATTTTGTAAAACCACTAATGCCCAATTACGTGGTTGAACTGGTTGAATTGGGAGTTAGGTTTTGAGCTTGAAATTTGCCTCATTTGCCACAATTGTTGCTCTATAAGCAGAGGTTATCACATTTGATGTCATAATTATATTGCTGTCATTATTATTACATATAAGTTCATTTTTATGTTTATATTTAGCTCTAAAGCAATGTGCAAAAAGATAGTGAACCGATAATGTTTATATAAATTCGTCACAAAAAAAACATTGTTTTTTACTATTACGCAAGAGATTAAATAATCAACAATGAATGAAGAAATACCACAATCTTGTATTGTATTGTATAATAGCCATGGCTTTCGTTCTAGCTAGCTAGCAAAAGCAATGACAAAAATGGTTAGGGGGTTTTTTGCCTAAGATCTTGCATTTGCCGCCCTTGCCACAATCGCTTTGAAAGCAGAGGTTATCGCATTTGGTGTCATCACTGGTACCAGGATTACAAGATCCGATGTGGTTGTCGTGACAACAGAACACCTTACAATCCGCCGGCACAAAATCTAAACCAAGAGAAAAAAAAGAAGAGTAAACAAATTAAACCATAGGGACATATATACGAGTACATCATTATTTCAATTTTTTAAGTTAACCATTGTCTTAGGATAATATAATTTTGATAAGATAAAATATTGCGTTAGTCATTTCATGTTGAAAAGTGGCCAAAATTTAAGGTTTTTAAAGTAGAACTTTAGACTTATATTCAGTCCAGATTCTGATAGATTCTCTACACATGATTAGATAAATTTTAATGTATTTTATCAAAAAATATTTTATGATTCTGTGAAAAGGTGAAGATAAACTAGAGAAGATAAGATGAATCGTGCCCCGACACGGAAGAGGGGAAGAGGAGTCGCAAATTCTTGGTCGTTCCTCATATTTTAATTAGATTTGTATTTATACTCCGGCCAACAATCTTTCACAATCCATATTTGTTGGGAACTGTGTGTTGGGTTTATCCCACACCGAAAAAATCAAACAAATAACATTCTCATTAAAAAAAGATGAAGCTCTACTCATTAGCTTAAGCTTTTGGATTGAAAGTAGATTTGGACTTTATATGGGTAAGTGGTCAAATCTCACTCAATGCTCTGCCTAGTTCACTCGGCCACATAAGTTACAACATGTATCAGAGCGAGAGTATCTTTTTATTAATATCATCAGATTTAGAAAAAAATTATTTAAAATCTCAATTTAGTACATTTAAATTTCAAATGATTTTTTTTAAAACCTAAACTAGATATTCAATGACTTTTAAAATCGAAAAACTATTGCAATCTTAATTGAATATACCCCTAACACTGTCAATGCAAATTTTGCAAAAAAATAGATTGTCAATGCCAAGAGAAGACTTCTTTTAATTAATACCTCGTGAGTTCTTTAACTTTTTAGAGCAAAAATATGATGAGATTGATAAACTAAGAATGAATAAAATCAAATGAAAAAGAATGGTTTTTCGGATAGATGAAAAAAGAAATGCCAAAATAGTTTTTTGATGCATATATAAATTAAAAAACAAGTGCACCCTACGAAAAAATGCACAAACGATATGATGTAAATTTGAATTGGTTATAACACATTTAAAACAATTATAATTATAAATATAAAAAACCTGTCGATAGGATGAACAATACACCAAAGAGTATGGACAACATATTAAACTTTGCCATTTTCTTCAAATCCTAATTTGTTCCCTTCTATTACCTTAGGTTTAGTGAAATCCTTTTACAGTTTATATAGCTAAAGAGAATTAGAGAGTAGTACTCTATTTAAGGCTTGATGGTGGCTTTTAAGGGAATTAAAGATTTTCAAAATTTACTTCGAACAAATGAAGTAAAAAAAACCTTTTTTGGTATATTCTGGCACCAGAGAAATTACCAAATTCGGAACCTAGCAGTTTTTTTTTTGGGTCAAGAACATTCGTGACAAATGATTCATGTACCTCGTATATGGTCCCAAATAGAAAGCTTGTGCAATTCTTCTCTCTTCCAAAAAACTCTTTCCTATTTGAAAAAAAAAATAAACATTATCGGGCATCATATAATGCTTGTGTAGGATAGAAAATTAGGAATTAGAAATTAAAACTCAGATTATACATTTGTAAAGTTCGCCTTTTTTGAAACAGAAAAAGTTTTTTAAGGCAAAAGAAGTATTATATTTAGACCTCCAAAAAATTGAATTTGGGTTGGGTCAGATGTTAATTTTTACGGAGTATTTTTTAGTTCTACATCATTTTTCATATAAAATAATTTGAAAATAACTTCTGTCAAACATCGTAAACCGAAATGGACAATTTAAAATGGGACAGAGGGAACATATAATATGATTGTTACACCATATATCATTATAGAATTATAATTTTTTTCAATCAATATATCAAAAACACATTTAATTTGGATACATTGTGTGACAATACACACACACACATGTATTTATGTGTGTGTGTGTACATATATATATGTATGTATGTATGTATGTATGTGTGTATGTATGTATGTGTGTATGTATGTATGTATGTATGTGTGTATGTATGTATGTATGTATGTATGTCTGTATGTATGTATGTGTGTATGTATGTGTGTATGTATGTATGTATGTATGTATGTCTGTATGTATGTATGTATATGTGTGTGTTTGTGAAAGTAGTAATCCTTATATCTTTTAACGTGTATCGTAAAAAAGAATGTATTTGGATGATTGATGAATACTTGTAGGACTACTTATAGACTTTTGAGATATTGAAGGACTGCATGTGGAGGGTTATAAATACTTGAAGGATTATTTATAGAATTTTGAAAGATCAATCGAGCACATCTTATAAATTTGAAGGACCAACCGTGAATTTTAACCTATAACATTTTCTCTATAATATTTACTCTTGAATGTGATGACTGAGGTAGATTGATTTTTGAAGAATAGATTTGATGTGATATGTATATCAATAGAGAGTAATTAGTAGAGATATAATGGATATTTCAATTGAAAATAAAAGTTTGGTATGGGAAGCACTAGGGGATCCATTTATGGTTTATGGGGGCACCCGACCCCAGTCAAGCTTTTCGTTAAAAAATAAAAAATCTAGGAATTTAAAATTACACCCCTCGTAAAAAATACTCTCTTCGTCTCAAAAAGATCGTTACGTTTCATTTCTTTGCGCATCACAAAAAGCAATGCTACTCACATTTAAAATTTCTAAAATTTATCATGTTTACTCTTTATTATAAGATGAAATTGTTTTGAAAGTTTTTTTGGCATTTTAGACGATATAAAAATATTTTAAGGGATGCGCAAAGAAATGAAACGTAACGATCTTTTTGGGACGGAGGGAGTATATATCATGTGCTCTTAGTCCAAAACAATTTTTTGTCCAAAAGAAAAAAAATATAAGAGTAAAATATTTATAATATATATCAAAGTTATATGAGTATTAGGTTATTTTATATTTCACATCATATTATTCTACTTTTAAAACATTTAGTTTTACTTATTTAAATACTTGTTTGATACCGTATAAAATTTACGAAGTACTAGTTTTTGGAGCGTGCTACCCTCACCTCACTTTGTATCCCATTTTGTACCCCAAAGTTTTACCCTGACATAAAATGTAAGTTCAACACTGGCATAACACCAATTTTGTACTTAAATTTAATGTCAGGACAAAGCCTTGAGGTACAAAATGATATACAAATATGGGATACAAGTAAAATTTTCTTAGTTTTTAATCGTTGGAAATAGCTTTAACTCTTTAAGTAAAATTTGGGGTTGCGCCCTTTTAGTATGATAGTGTCCCCAGACATTTATTTTTCTAGACTCATCATTGTATTAGAAATAGTGAAAAGCAAAATTAAATTACTTTAAAATTAATTGGGTTTGATTTCATTTCTATTAATTTTGTTCATCAATTTTGTTTATCCTTCTTTTAATGGTTTAACTCATGCTATGGCTAGAGAATGTAATACTCATTTTGTTATTTGGAACATTTTTCCCCCAAATTTTCTTCTCCCATTGATGAATTAATAAAATTTCTTTTCCTTTTCTCCCATTCATTCTAAATATAATTGAAAAAGGCATTGATCCACTGCACTCGGTATTCTAGACCAAGTTATACACAGCCTTTGCCAATTTTTGCTGGTGTTACTAACTTTGCAAAGTTACCAAAGAAACAACTTTGGATAGACTCTATTCTTCTGGATTCGAAAAATAAAATTCCAACTAACTTTTTCTATTCTTTGAGTTCTCTTCTATCTTCTTTCAATTCTTTCTAACTCCTAAATTTTTTCGACTAGGACATAAAAATTTCTTTATATATGGGGCGAGGATCTTCTGACCTTAGAATCTCGGGTTATATTATGACCCGTGGCTCTTACAATTCTCCTTTCGTAAAATTGATGGTTATTACCCGCCTCTAACCCCCGCTAAATCCTACCCCTGCCCCTCTCCTTCCAACTTTTTCCCGTTTATTCCAACTTCTTTCAATTTCTTCTAACATTCAACTTTGAAATTTTAATCCAAAAGAACAGAGTGCATTTAAATGGAATTTGGCACACCTATACAGTCCGTCCTTAGGGTTTCAATGGACCGTGATAAACTTTAAGTACCTTTTGTGCAAAAATTGCTCCCGGATACCCTCGATTTTGTGATAAGAACTGCCAGGTCCCATTATTTTTTTAAATATACTCCGAGGTACCTTAAATTATCCAAAAACTTACCAGGAGGTGACAATCCGTCCATTCCTCCGTTAGTTTCTATTTCTGTTATCTTTTTCTTCTTCTTTTATGTTTTTTCTTTCTTTCGTACTCTTTTTCTTTTCTCTCTTTCCTATTCGTATTAGAGACCAGCCCTCCCCACCCCCACCCCCACCCCCAACCCAAATCCCTTCCCCCCTTTTTTTCTTACTCTATTTTTTCTTTTCTTCTTCTTCTTCTTTTATTATTATTATTATTATTATTACTACTACTACTACTACTATTAGTTACTATCATTTTATTATTAGTTATTGTATTATTTTATTATATTTTATAATAATTATGATTATTTATTTTTATCATTTTACTTAGTCGTTATTAGTTTCGCTACTCTAACTTTTTTTAGCAAATTAAACTTAAAACCCCATAAAAAACAATTGTATACCCACATTGACCTTTCCCAATTCCCAATTTTCACTTGCATAAAAAAGGTTAAATTATTTTAAACCTTTAGTTAAAAATTAATTTTAGTAATATATTTATGTATAGTTTATAAAAAAGATAGTTTATAAAAAATATTATTTATTTCCTTGGTTATAAATTATACGGAGTACGTCTTAATTCATTATATTAATATGAAATTTAACATCATTTTTATCGTTGTACATTATCTATAAAAATATTCCAGAGGCACCCGTCTTATTCTTATCCCAAGTCTTCTCATTTTCTACATTACCCACTATTATGGCGGCTAACCAGTACGTGACTAATGTGAAAAACAACATGGAATGGCAAAAAATTATAGTAAAAGTACTAGTAATTGTTTTTAATTATAATAGTAATAATTTTTATTTTAAATAATAATAAGTTTTATTTTACTTAAAAAATAGTGTAACAAAACTACTAATTAACTTTTAATAATAATAATAAATTAAAAAAATAGAAGAAAAATAAAAAAATAAATAATAATTAATACAAAGTAATACTAATAAATATTTTTATTTTTTATAAAAGAGTAAAGTAGTAAAATTACTAATTAATTGATTTTAATAAATAATAGTATTAATAATAAGTGTTTTTTATTATAAGTNTTTTATTTTAAATAATAATAAGTTTTATTTTACTTAAAAAATAGTGTAACAAAACTACTAATTAACTTTTAATAATAATAATAAATTAAAAAAATAGAAGAAAAATAAAAAAATAAATAATAATTAATACAAAGTAATACTAATAAATATTTTTATTTTTTATAAAAGAGTAAAGTAGTAAAATTACTAATTAATTGATTTTAATAAATAATAGTATTAATAATAAGTGTTTTTTATTATAAGTTCTATTTTTCTAAATAAAAATTAATAGTCGTAGTAGTAGTAGTAGTAATAATAATAATAATAATAATAATAATAATAATAATAATAATAATAATAATAATAATAATAATAATAATAAAAGAAGAAGAAGAAGAAGAAAAGAAAAAATAGAGGAAGAAAAAAGGGGGGAGGGATTTGGGTGGGGGTGGGGGTGGGGGTGGGAAGGGCTGGTCTCTAATACCAATAGGAAAGAGCGAAAAGAAAAAGAAAGAAAAAGAGAAACAAAGAAAGAAAAAACATAAAAGAAGAAGAAAAAGATAACAGAAATAGAAACTAACGGAGGAATGGACGGATTGTCACCTCCTAGTAAGTTTTTGGATAATTTAAGGTACCTCGTAGTATATTTAAAAAAATGATGAGACCTGGTAGTTCTTATCACAAAATCGAGGGTACCCAGCAGTAATTTTTTGCCTTTTGTGTCTCTAAATTTTAATATACTTTTCTGAGTTTCTCTTTTTAGTTAAAATTGGTAAACTATGACTATAAATTTAATAAAATCAATATTAATTAGATATTGATACCAAACTAATATATTGAATTTATTTTATAAGATACGACCTTACTTGAACAAGATCTGTTCTATAGGTTGTATTTCCAAAAAATTACAGAGTATTTTATAAGATATTTTCAAAATGTTATTCTATCTAATCAGTATATGATGCATATTTTATTTAATTATAAGTCAAATATCAAAAAATGCTGATTATAAGAAATTAAAATTAGACAAATACTCAATGACGGAAATGGTATTACATATGCGCGCTTTATTTGTTTGAAACGATATAACGAGAACCATTGGCATATGCAGAAATATGATGCGAAACAAAAATAGAAGATTTCGACATACAAAAGAAAAGGTAAAAAGGGACATAAATAATAAGGACAAAGAGAATAATAATATATATTGTATGGTAAGTATATTATTATATTCGCCATGCATCCTTATCTTCTAGCTAGCATGAGCAATGGCAAAAATGGTTGGGAGGTTTATTGCCGATGACCTTGCATATGCCTCCGTCACATTGGTTTCCAATGCAGAAGTTTTTACATTTGCTGTCATCGCTGGTGCCGGGAACACACGATCCAATGTGATTCTCTTTACAACAAGGGCTCTTGTTGTCTTGGGCTAGTATAACATCTAAAAAAATAAAAAAAGAATATGTAAATAAACCACAGTCCTATATGTTACTCTCTCGGTTCCATAAAATTCTTCCTATTTTAAATAGGACTATAACATAATGACTTTCTCAAAATAGGACCATATGTTTTTATTTTCCAATGTAGGACCGTTGGTCATTATCTATTAGTCATTATTCAACTAAATGTCCAGCATCACTTGGACATTATTCTTCTCACTAGTCATTATTAAATCCTATTTAGGGAATAAAAAAGTTTAAGTCTTACATTAGAAAATGACTTATGTTTTAGTCCTATTCAGTGTAAATTTCATTTGAAAAAAGGTGCACTCTTAAAATGAGTAATTTTGTTGTAATTTCCAAATTTTACCCTTACTTTATAATAGAGTATGATGAGATGAATAAAATAGATGAGTCATAATTAGAAAATAACACCAAAATTAGATTAGAATCTTGGAATTATTAACACATTATTCACACATCTTTGAGCTTGTTGTATACAGTGTTTTGAAGACCGGACCGGACCGGCCGGTCCAACCGGTTGACCCGCGAACCGGCAACAAATCCGGTCCGGTTCACTGAAGAAACCTGGCTCCCTTTTGACCAGCCCAAACTCGTCGGACCCGGTGAACCGGGTGACCCGGGTCGACCCGTCCGGTTCCCGGGTTTGGGCTTAAATCTACATTTTATTAAATTTTTAGACATAAAAATTGAAAGTGGTGGCTGGGAATCGACACCAGCACCTCCCGTATACTAGTGCAAGTTGTCAACCAAGTGAGTTACTCAATCTTTGTTCAAAATCTAGGTATCAATCATATCTATTTATGGTTTTACAAAAGGTTCATACAAAATTAATACTAGTATGTAGTTTTTTGTGCAAGTGTGAATTATTTGTATTTATGAACTTTTAAAATATATAGTTTTAAAAATTGAGAATAATTTAATTTTTATTTGAAAATAAATATACTCTGTATATTTTATATTTAAAAAATTGTTGTCTTCAAAAATTAAGTAATATTATTAATTACGGAGTATAATTTAATATGCTATATTTTTTATTTTCAATCATTTTAATCAACTAAATATTAACTTTAAAATGTCATATGTATATAAGAATAAAATATATAGTCTTTAATTTTAGAAAATATGAGTATCGCCTTATTATTTAAGTATTTGTTAGAGATTCAGTATTAACTTTTCATAATAATAAAAATAATAAAATAAAAATCGAAGGTGTGAAATATCATATGTATAAGGATATTNATAGTTTTAAAAATTGAGAATAATTTAATTTTTATTTGAAAATAAATATACTCTGTATATTTTATATTTAAAAAATTGTTGTCTTCAAAAATTAAGTAATATTATTAATTACGGAGTATAATTTAATATGCTATATTTTTTATTTTCAATCATTTTAATCAACTAAATATTAACTTTAAAATGTCATATGTATATAAGAATAAAATATATAGTCTTTAATTTTAGAAAATATGAGTATCGCCTTATTATTTAAGTATTTGTTAGAGATTCAGTATTAACTTTTCATAATAATAAAAATAATAAAATAAAAATCGAAGGTGTGAAATATCATATGTATAAGGATATTAAAAAAGAGATGGAGAAATAATAACATAAATTAAAATATTTTATTAACTAAAGTATTTAATATATCATAAAATATTATTATTATAAACATAGTTGACCGGGTCATTGACCCCCGGTTCGACCGGTCAAGCCTTGACCCACTACCTCGTCCGAGTCGACGTCCGGTCCGGTTTTCAAAACATTGGTTGTATATTGATTAAAACAAGTGCACCTATGAGAGAGAAAAAGCACAAGAAATGTTGTAGATTATACTCCTAGCTATGTATGTAGAAATGTTGGAATTATTAACACATTATTCAAACATTTATAAATATAAAAAACCTGTTGATGATAGGATGAGCATTGCACCAAGGAGGATGAACAACATATTAAACTTGGCCATTTTCTTATTGGCAACTCCTAGCTATATGTATGTAGATATGTATTTGTTTGGTTTAGTGGAATCCTTTATATACCTAAAAAAAATTAGTTAACCCGATCAATTTAAGGGTTGATTGCTGGCGGTGTTTTTGGGACGGCAAAATTACCTATATTCACTCGTAGAAAATGAAGTAAAGTACTCAGTCTTTTTTTTTTGCTTAATTTCTTACTGCGAAGAAATTACACTACCAAGTTTGGAAATCTTGTTTTTTTGAATTGCCAAATTTGGAATTGTGAAACATAATAGATACTTTTTCTCTAAAAAGAAATTTTCATTTTCTTTTTTAATCTATTTCAAAAAATATTTAATTTCTTCTTTCAATTATAACGATGTATAATAATATATTTTCCGTTTTTGCTCCTTTCTTTTTCATCCGTTCCTAAAAACCTTTCTAATTTCCAAAAAAATGTCCTTTATATTCTTCCATTCCTCTTCTTCTACCGTCTTCATTTGTTCCCATCTTTAGATTTGTTCTTCTACCGAATCCAACTCCTCACCCCCCCACCACCCCCACCCAATGATGCTTGAGGTGACGAAGACTAAAGTGGCCGAGTTTATCTCTCTAAAAACTCGCTGGTTGAACGTGTTCTCTAAATTCCCTAATAGAATTTAGGATGAGTATGGACAACTGGATTGGGCAATAAAACACTTGGGTTTAAATATTGAATACAACCGATTAGTTAGTTCAACTCAAGAGCTTATATACCGATTATCTTACTTTAGAACTTCCAATGTGAGATCCACTTTAACATTCCCCTTGAATTTGTTGTTCATTTTTGTTGTTTTTGGGTTCTTTAGGAGCATATTCAACAAGGGAACATAATTCAGAGCTTTTTCCTTCACACTATGTTTGGTTCAAGGAATTTGAGAGGGAATTGAATAGAAAATGAGAAGAAAAATATTTTTATTATGTTCTAATTAATTGGCCTACATTTCCAATTTTCCAATTTTTGACTAGAGTTAGTATTTTGGAATCATTCACGAGCAAAGCCTTCTAATTAATTTCCAATTTTTATTATGCTCTAATTAATTGGCCTACATTTCAATTTTCCAATTTTTGTTTTGAACAATCCTGTTTAAGCTTTTTCCAATTTTCAATTCTATATCGATTTTGTTTATTCAATTAGTTTCATACTTTCATCAGTGTTTTTAAATGTATTGGTTATGCATGCATGTGCGTGTGTGGTAAAATTAGCAAATTTGCTGCGTAATAAGTTAATAACTTAGGCTGGTACTTCGATTTCTTCATTCTTCAATTGGTTTGTAGTAAAACTGTTTCGAATGATCGATTGAAGATTGATAAATTAGTTTAATAGTAGTGGTGTGGCAAAAATTTACCACATCTGCAATTGTTCAAACCCGATACCTCCATAGAAGTTAGATTTGATGATGTCCTTATGGCACTAGAAATGGGGGTGATGTCGTAGAGTGTTTTCATATGTGTAAGGGCGGCGTTAAACACCGTCCCCAGGGCTGTTACCGAGGCGTCGAACGTTTAAGGGGCAAAAATGCAGTGGGGCCCATTTCAAACAGCTATAATGGCGTTGAGCAATTTAAAAAAAATTACCCCATACATTGACTCTATATTGTATATTCACTCTTTTTTTAAAAAAAATAAAACGCACACAAATCTTCTAGTTTCTCTCTTCTTTCTTATAAAAATACTTCTCATCTTTCATCAATTTTTAAACTTTATCACGAATCCTCCATCCGGTCTTGAGCCTCATAAGTATGCAATGTGTGTTTACCAAACGTGCACGAATTTTATGATATTTCCTGAAACGCAAATAAGTTATTTGAATTTTTAAGGCACTAATCAAACAAAGGGTGCTATGTGAGATCGTATTGAGTAGAAGTTTTTTGTCGTAACGAGCAAGGACCCCTCATACCAAAGTCGAGATCAACTCACTTCTAAATGAGGTCACATAAACAGAAAAGCCTGAAAATCTATCGGAGTGTACGAGGAATGCGTCAGGTTCGGGAAAAGCTGGATGAATGATGTTGATATTCTTAGGAAAGCGACCACTCTGTATCAAGATGATAGACACCGAAATGGAAAGACTCTGTTACCCTGAGGCCGGATCTTCAAAGAAAAGATCTTCCTCCGAGATTAACGTGGAGGACACTATCGACTCATGAGAACAAAGGTCTCCCGTGAACCTAGACAACTCGGACATCATCCCACGGTGGATCTGAAGAAAGAAGGCTAAAACAATTGCGTCAGAATCTGGGTCTAGCACTGTTTTCTCTCATAATGATATCGGTCGGTAAATGGTTGAACAAATATGGTTGTTTAATATTGGGGAAGAAGAGAGGGAGAAACGCGACGGAAGATAGAGGAGGAGTTCGAAATAATAGACAAAAACTTTGATACATTAACGGGATTCAAAAGGATGTATTACGAGAAGAAAATAAAATGGAATAGTGTTTTTTATTTATGTAATTTTTTATGTTTTTTTAAATTTAGTAAACTTTCTTTTGTTTAATGTATTTTTTACTAATTTAATGAAATATTGTAGTATTAATTGAATTAATTAATAAAATCTTATTAATATAATTTTATAAAAGCTATATTAAAAAATACTCCCTCCGTCCCTAAATAGATTACAATTTTTTTTTCTCTCCTCTCGATAACTTTTGTTTGTTTACGCGATTTCATTAAATATTTGATAAAATAAAATATGCTTGTCACTTTTTGTTTTGTAGAACTTTTGACGTAGTTTTTTAATATGTAATTTTTATATTTTATTGATATACAAATTTGTAAATAAAATGATTTCAAAAAGTAGAGAATTTTACTCCGTAACTCGTAATTTGTAATCAAATTGGGTACGGAGAAAGTAAAAAAAGAAAAGTTAGATTAGAAGCTCTGATATTTTCAGTTAAATTATGATGCAAGTTAAACGAGATTAAAAGTGATGTGACATGTAATTATGGCATTTGAAAAGAGTGGGATAATGTGAGGAGCGCATTTCAATTCTAGTGGTTGCCCTCTTATTTCTCCATCTTTCCCTCCTTCATTTTCGTCACTACATTTCAAAGACAACGTCTGCCGGACCACGTCCAAAAACACTTGTCCATTCCCATAATCACACGGTAATAATAATAACAAATTAACAACAACAACAATAATAATAATAATAATTCTTTGCTTTCAACTCTTTCATCATAATCATCATCATCATCATCATCATCATCATATCAATTAGCTAGCCAGCCTGTGTCAGACCAACAATAGTCTCTTGCTTCTCAAAGATATGGCCGCCGGTACTGTCTATTTGAGGACCAACCGTTTTGAGGTCAAGCTCGAAGGCATCACCTTCAAAACCAAAGATTTTGAGTATTTATGCAAACAAGACTTTCTCTTCCCTAATGGTAAAGTTAGGGTTCACAAACCCATTGTTGGCATTGATGTCATCCAACACCCTCGTGACCCTAACATTGTCTTGGTCCTCTTATGTTTCGGGTTGGGCTGCGTTATTCTCCGGTTTCGCCCCGGGGAAGCGCTGCCCGACCCCATCCTCAAGTTCCTAGCCGACGCCAGAATCTGCTTTGTCGGTTTTGGCATTCCTGAGAAGGGAGATTTATTTCCGTTTGAACGGTTAGGGTTTTCAAAGCAGAAATCCGACATCGGCTATCTAGCCTCTAGGTTCTTCAACAACCCAAAGTACAGGCGATGCGACCTCGGAGATCTCGCGCGCAAAGTTCTTGGTATCAAGAGTATGATTGGACTGGCCGATTCTTCGTCCTTCGCGAGACACGAGCAAATCAAATGTGGGATTTGCCAGTTGTTTATTTCCACCATTATTGCCATTTCGCTTCTTAGCGCGGTTGAGAAGAAGAAGGTGAAGGCCACTTCTTCTCCGAAAAAGGGTTCTTTTCTTGCGAATCTCGCATCTCTTCCCTTGTTCGCCGAAGGATGGCGGCTCAAGTTGAATGATGGGAAGTGTCTTGGTGAGACCGACGATGATGGTATGGACAAAGGGGGTGATGAGGATGATGATTCTTGTCGTGGTGGGAAAAACGAAGATGCTTCTTGCAACGCGTTTGTAGGTGACAAAGGTGAGAAGGTGTACTCTTGTCGCGATTATGCGGTCCGAGCAAGAGTGAGCGAGGAAGATTTGGTTAGAGGAGAAGATAATGCTCCAAAGACAAACGACGACGATGATGGTGATGATGATTATAATTATTGTTCCAACAAGGAGTCGCCAAAAAAGGCGCCATTGAAAGGGATCTTTAAATGTTTGTTTCCACTAGACGTCGAGAACCTCAATCCCTATACTTCTCCATCATCTCCCGACTCCAACAACAAGGGCACAATCGTCACGTCGAAAAAGAAGAGTTCCAAAGGGGACGACGACGCGATAAAGTGTCCCTTTTCTCCTAGCAATGATTCCAATGACAAAGAGCCAGTATGCATTGGGAAAAAGCCTTTGAAAGGGATCTTAAAGTGTCCTTCTTCCAAGTTTGAGAGGTGTATGTCTTCTTCTCCAAAGGCCAGTTCACCCCCAAATGCACAAGAGCTTTTAAGAAGAGCCAATTCCAAGGGCCACAATGTAAGCTTTAAATGTGATGACTAGCTTCATTCTATGGTCCTTAATTAGCTCAAGTCACACAGGTGGTCGGTTCGGGTCATTTCGGTTTCCCCTGATTTATCTTACTCTCACTTTTTTTTCATCTGAATTGTTAACCTTTGTGTTGGTCATTATTAATCTGCAGAACTTAGGTACAGAATTGTATAAATACTAGAAGTGTGTGATGACATTATTAATAATGGCTTTTGGTATCAAGTTCTGCGGGTTATGTTTCTTGAGTCAAATCCTACTAATTTGTTGTTTGTAAGTTTTTATTGACTTCATGTAAAGGCTGGACTTGGCAACTACCAATTTATTTAGCCAAATGGGAATATTAAATGTAAGGTGAGAATCAAGTATAGTTGTATTGGAGCATTTTATATTTGAAGTAAGATCAGAAGACATGTTTTTTTAAGTATGACCATTATTGATATAAATGAGAGGCAACATTTTAAACTGATTCTTAAAAATAAGATTTTTCATAAGGTTAACAATTTTTTTGTTTAGTCAAGAAGGTGAACAACTAATTTGTAAGGGAGGGAGTTACAAAACAAGTGTTTCCATTTATTTTCGTTGAGGCTTTTTATCCAACACATTTACCTCTCACATGGGAAAAGACAAATTACCTGCTTAACTTCAATTTTCGTTTTGACTTTTGCAAAATTTTAAAGAACGATTGAAATACTAAAAATTAACTGATCATATTAGAGTGGTATGCAGTTTTCATTCGTAAATCCACTTTTGGTACGTTCGTAAAATATTTTTTTAGAAAATGTTACAAAAGAAAATGAAAAATTAAAAAATTAAATAAAATACACTTTTTCATTATAAATAAAAGTAAAATAAATAAAATAAAAAATTAGATAACATATATACTCACTCTTGTTGGGTATCCCTCCTACATGGAGGAAGGAGTTTCTAAACAATACATTTAGTGTTAAAATTGTAATTTGTTTAGTGGTGAAGTAATATAATAATAATAATAAGGAAAAATTACCCAAAATAATCCCAACTTTACTCTGTCTTTCAAAAATAATCCCACCTTTCACTGTGATGCATAATAATCCCAACTTTATTGAAATTTGCCAATTTTGGGTCGCCGTTAAATTTCTAACGGAAAGTTAACGGAAATGCCCGTTTTAGACAACAAAATGAAAGTTGGGATTATTTTTTATGAATTTTTGTTTTTTAATTTTTTTTTGAAATTTTTTATTTAAATTTTTTGAATTACTTTTAACCTCCATTTCTTTTTCTTTTTTAAAGATTATTCTTACCTTAGAAAAAAAATAGATAAAAAAATTAATGAAAATGCGAAAAATAACTAAAACAATACAAACTTAATCAAATAAATAATGTAATCAATAGAAATTAAACAGAAACTGGTAAGAAACATAATAAATATATACGGAGTGG